TATGTTCCAGACATTGTTTACGTGCTTGTTATTTTACTTTTCATATGTTCAGATATACAGAAGACCTAGCACATAGAAAACATGTTTAAATATAGATTTTTTATTATTTTTATGATTTTATTCATAAGTATTATATTTACATTTACACCTCTTCCTTCCCCTCTCAATTCCTCCTAAACCCCACACTCCCTCCCAAATTCATGACTTCTTCATCATTATTATTATTATTATTTATACATACGTAGGTATATTTGAATACAACCTGCTGAGTCCATTTAGTGTTTCTTGTATGTACATGTGACTAGTTGGGGACTGGAGATTCTGTCAGGGGGCTTGTTCCTAGAGAAAACTTAATCTCCCTCTCTCCATAGCCATTAATTACCTCTAAGTAGTGCTTCATCTAATGATGGAGCTCCATGAGCCTTCTCTCATTCATGTTTGCATATTGACTGGTATTGTCATCAGTCAGGTCATGTTTAGGCAACATATTGTTGAGAGTTCATGAGTGCAGCTTTCCTGTCATATATAACACAGATATAGTTGTCCTCTGCCTCTCACAATCTTTCTGTCCCTCTTCTGTTGTGTTCTCTAGGACTTAGGTGTAGAGGTTGTGTTGTAGATGTATTAGTTTGGGGCTGGACACCCCACACAGTTCTATGCATTTTGACCAATTATAGACTTCTGTGGTAGTGCCTATCTGCTGCAAGAAGAATTTTCTTTAATGAAAAGAATGAACAACATTTACCTGTAGGAATAAAGATAAATATTTAGAACATATTTGGAAATAACCCTGTTTAGGAAAGTAGCAATAATAGGTTTTCCTCTAGGGTTCTTGATCTCACCAGCAATGAGTAATTGGCTTTGTTTATTGTAACAAGTATGAATTCCTTTCTATTGAGTCTGAAGTCCCACTCAATACACGGCTGGTGGTTTCCACTAAGTGCCATTATTGCACCCTGTGAGATATCTTGTCATGCTCCTTGTTGTGGATCACAGGCTTTACAGATAAGTAGGACTATTGATTGTTTTTTCCCATTGGCAGCTTGCATAGCACCTTCCAATAATATGAGAAGTAGTATTCAGGGAGGAGGTTTCCAGGTCCTCATGAGCGCCAGCCCTCCAGGTTCCATGTCCTAATTATGTGGTGTCTTCAGCACTAGGGTCTACCTTCAGCTTCTGGAAAGGAACCAAGGACAATTGTCTCTCTCTTTCTCTCCCTCTTCCCCCCCTCTCTCTCTGTATCTGTCCTATACATAGCCTATATAGTTTGGAGAGTCTCTTGAACTCCCTGAGTAACAACTCAAAGAGACGAAGCCAGGTTAAGGAAATGCTAATGTTTATTTGGTTTCATGACTCTGCAAATTTCCTATTGCAAAAGAAGTAGCCTTGAGTGAATGATTCTACCTGATCAAGGCTTCTCCTATGTGGCAGGGACTTTGATCCTGTGTGTTATCTCTGTGAAGCATCTGGCCATTTATGGTGAGAACTACGGTTGTTTCATGCCAGTGTGTTTTAAAGGAAGTAATATTTATGGGACTATACAGCTTGTACCAGGTGCAAGAGTTTCTCTATGTTCATATCTTTCCTTTGCTCTTACTATCTTCACTAGGAGAAATAAGAATAGATACACATGGGAAAACAGTTTCCTTTCTTAATTTTATTTTTTTAATTTCTATACAATATGTTTTCGTCATGTTCTTTTCCCTCCCTTGACTCCTTCCAGATCCTCCCACCTCCCTACCCATCCAACTTCAGGTTCTATATCCTCTCAAACACAGGAAAGCAACAAAAAAAGCAAAAAATGAAAACCAAAACAGCTAAACAGCTGAAAGAATAAAAAGAAAACCAGTAAGACAAAAATAACATAAAAAACATACCAAAAAAAAGCATGAAGTCTATTTTTTATTGACCAACTACTCTGAGCATAGGGCCTGCTCAGGAATGTGGTGGATATGTCCAGTGGCACTCCACTGAAGAAATGATTTCCCCTTTCCCAGAGGTACTAATTGCATAAAGCTTCTTGGTTATGGGTGGGACTTTGTGTCTACTTCCCCTTCTCAGTGCTGGGTTTTATCTGGTTTGAACCTGTGCAGATCTTTGAGTGCTGTTACAGTCTCGGTGAGCCTATATGTTTATTAGCCCTGTTGTGTATGTAAGATGCTGTTTTCTTTGAGTTGTCTGTCAACTATGGCTCTTACAACATTTCTGGTTCCTTTTCCAGGTAGATCCCTGTGACTTCAGTGGGGGGGTGTTGATTTATATACAAAAAAAAATTTAGTGCTGAGTGCTCCAAGGTCTCTCATATTCTGTGCACTTTCCAGTTGTGGATCTCTCCGTTAATTACCATCTACTGCAAGAAGAAGCTTCTCTAATGAGGGTTGATCTGTGGGTATAGCAATATGTCATTAGAAGACATTTCATGGATACATTCTTTTAGCAGAATAATAGTAGTAGGTTTTCCTCTGGGTCCATGATCTATCCAGTCTAAGGTTTGTGGACTCTTTAGCCATGTCAAGTATGGGTTCCATCTCATAGAGTGGGCCTTAAATCTATTTAAAAAGTGACTATTCGCACAACATTTATGCCCCTATTGCATCAGGATCATGCAGTGTTGTAGGCCTCAGGTTTGTATCTGAATGATATTAATGATTACTTTTCTCCTCTGGTAGGGTGCAAAGTACATCCCAGTGCAACAAATGCTAGTCAATAGGGGTAAAAGTTCTACTTTTGGACTCCACTTGATTTTTTTCAATGGTTGGTGATATAAGTATGCTGTGTCTTCAGCAATAGGGTCTTTCCCTTGAGTTATAGAGAGTAATTAGCAGCCTTGGTAATAGCCTGTGATGTCTGGGGGGATCATTTAGAAACCCTTTGCCAATGATTCAACAGACAAATTGTTGAGAAAAGCCCAACATAGCCCATTAATAACTTGTTCCCCCAGAGGTACAGATATTAACAGGTATTAGTGATAAGTCCCTACTAAGCTATGATTGAAAACTTCACATATAAATTCTTATCTACATCACTCATACTCATTCTGTCTCCCACCTCCCACTTTTCCTAGCCCCTCTCTCCAAATTCATGGTTTCTTCTTTAATTATTATTTTATATACTACACGCACACACACACACACGCACATACAGAGAGAGAGAGAGAGAGAGAGAGAGATATGCAGCCTACTACATCCATTTAGTATCACTCTTGTGTACTTGTTGTTTATATATGTATATATATGACCATCTGAATTTGGACATCTTACGAAGAAACTCATTTATAGAGAAAACTCCCCCTCCCAGCAGGCATTGACTATCTGAAGCTCTTCATCTGAGGATGGATCATATGGAATTTCTCTTGTCTACGTTGGCATGTCAACTAGGATTGTGATTATCAACTGGCATTATGATTATGCTGGTCTTGTTGATATTTCCTGGTTATATTTTTCCTGTCATGTCCAAGGGACACTAGCTAGCAAAAGACACCCTGAACATCTCCCAAGATATTCCCTAAGCCCTAGGTATAGGGTCAGCAAGATCTCTTGACTCCTTCTCTCTAGCCTGTGTATCATGTTTGAATTGTTTCAGCTATGTCTCCTGCCTGAACCTGAAACACCCAGAGGGTTGATAGACACAGCAATAAGCTAAATTAATCCTTTACATCTAGATCTTTTAGAGATTTGGTGACTAAGTTCTATTTTTATAGCCTATGGTAGAGCCAAGAGTATATGTGGAGCAGACATCTGCTAAGTATAGTGATGTAGAGTAGAAACTTAACTAATGTAAATGACACAGACTACAGAAAGCATCCATCTGAATGTATTCCTAATCCTTTCACTGGTGGATTCGATGACCTTCATTGTCCCCTTAGTTCTAGTTTTATCACCTGGCCTGAATGGTTTGGTACCATCTGTACCTTCCAGGAGTGTGATGGCAGTGTGAGATTTGAACACAATTATGGTTTCTAAGCAGTGGTTCTCTCCCACATTGTAGAGCCTTCTGGAACTGTGTACATAATGGGATAAGTGAGAATTGCCTAACCAGCTGTTCCAGCATGTCTTCTTCTACCTCCTGAACTTACTCAGATCAATCTTGCCTCTTAACATCTTCCCAGAGCAAAGCAATCAGCAAGTATCAGGGACCATGTGGTCCATCCACCATAAGACTCTTAGCTGGTCTCATTTTAGCTAAATTCTCCTGTTCTTGTGGAACTGGCTATGAACCCCAATAAATTCCAAATTCAATGTCATAGTGGCTTCTTTCCCTCCATGCTTATGGAAGTAGTTCACACTGCAGCAGTAGTTGAGTCCTGCAAAAGATTCAGTACAAAAAAACCATTTTCGTGTGTGATAGTCAGATGTCCGGTCTCCAAGCCTTCAAACCTGGTCATGTCCTCTCTCGTCCCACTTCTATTCTCCAAATATATGTTATGTTCATATCATCTGAAATATTATTCTTGGATTGTTAGTTCTACTTCATCCCTGCCATAGGCTATCTCTAATAATTGTGATGTTAAATACCAGTGTTTCATTTGCTTTACTCTAAAATAGCACAGGTCAATGCCTTACTCTCATACCTTGACCCACCCAGAACAGCTCCTCTGCATTCTGTCTCATGCCACTTGCAAGTACCTGCATTGTAGCATTTATTGCATTATATTATACAATAACAATAAAATTTTATCACAAAGTAAAAATGTAGAGAACAGCCTTATGAGCTCCCTGAAGGCAAGGACAGAGTCTTATTTGTTATTCAGTTTTCAGTATGAATCCAAACATTAGTTGAGAATTGCATTTTTTAGTATATAGTTGTGATATTTTTATTGTGGTATAGATAGCTTTTATATATATACTTTTATATATGCCATGACTCAACCTTGAAACAAGAAGAATTTTAACCTGAACCAGCTGTTGCTATGTCTGATAGTTGAGGAAAGTTTCTGTTCTGCCTAACTTTCTCTGCTCAGGGGCATCCATGGTTAGTGGTTTCTCCTGTTCTCCCTCCAGCAACACTGAAGGAACTAGTCTCACAGACAATGATCCGCTGGGCCCAGGAGAACCAAATCCAGGATGCAGAGTTGGTGAGAATTATGTTCAACCTCCTCAGAAGACAATATGACAGCATTGGGGAGCTGCTACAGGCCCTGCGGAAGACCTACACCATCAGCCAGGCCTCTGTGAGCGACACCATCAACCTGCTGGCTGCCCTGGGCCAGATTCGATCCCTTCTGAGTGTCAGGATGGGCAAGGAAGAGGAGCTTCTCATGATCAACGGGCTAGGGTAGGGTCACTCAGAGCACTCACAGTCCTCTAGAGAGAATCTCTTTCTCTCCTTGTGGTGGTACAGCCTTGGTACATGAGCTACCTCTGGAACATGACACAGCACACTGCCTGTTGTGCAAGATGAAAAAGCATTACCAAAAGAAATGAACTTAATTCTTAGAGACTCTTATGAAAATAGCCTGTGTGGCGTCATGAAAACAAATCTGGAGGAGAGAGCGGTATATTTAACCTGAGAAAGAAACAATCTGATCCCTGGAGACATTGACTGGGTGTCTTCTGAGGCTTCTGAGAAATTCCCAGCTGCCCCCTTTTTCCCACTTCTAAACTGTAGAGTGATTTTGTTAGCTCTGTAAGATGCCTTGACATAGTAACTCATGGATCTGCCTCCCAAACCATGTAGACAAGACAGCTCCTGGCAATTTGAAGCCAGGGGGATTTCCTTTCATTGCAGAGCATAGAGGAGAAAACAAGTGCCAGCATAGCTCACTGGCCAACCCACAATGTTACGTGATTAAAATCAAAAGGACCATTCCTCCCCTCCCCATGCTTGGGCTTGCAAACCACAGAAGCATCATTAAGGACCAGAAAAGTGGTTTGAATGATTCTCAGGAAAGAAAGGGTGTGTATGCATGCATTCCCCATATTCATTTGCAAAGAGGAATATTATAATCTAAATGAAGATACTTTTATAGGAGGGAAATGAGCTGCAGAAGTAGCTCCTCCTCTTTCCAGCCAAGTTACACGCAATTGTTACATCTCCAGACTTTTATTTACCCAAGCTTCAATGTGTGGTTTTGAAGACTAGTGTCCACCAACTTCATGGTATCAAATATAAAATTCTTATAAGAAAGATACAGTCTTGTCATTAATAAACTGAGTGCAAAGAAACACAGTTATAAGGGGAGAAATAAGTTCTTGGATACACAGAGAAAGAAAAATCCAGTAAAGAGGATGGTCTTAGGATTTAGTATAAGCAAAAAAAGGAGAGTATCTTTAAACATTTTAAAGAGAAAAAGCAAACAGAAATATCTTGTGCTCCTTTTTATGTTAGCTAAAAACAATTCCACACATAGCTCATTAGCTACTACCTTATTATTATTTTTCTCAACTTATCATTTTAATGTTACTCAACCCAAATCATGTTTGTATGTTCTCATTCCTGGATTTTCAGAGCAGAAGAGCAACAGGTGTTGAATTCTCCCTCTCATTTTTCTGTTAGGGACATAATGAACAACAAGGTGTTTTACCAGCACCCCAACCTTATGCGAGTCCTTGGCATGCATGAGACAGTGATGGAGGTGATGGTGAACGTATTGGGTACAGAGAAATCACAGGTAATGCTATACTTAGCCAGAACTTGACTCTCAGGCCAGTATTATCTATTGTCTTAGTTTTCCCCTGGGTAGAACCAAAGGGATCCAAGAAGGGGGACTTTGCTGCTGGCATAGTGTCCAACTGGGAATTTATACTAGTTTTCCTGAGATCTTGCTTAAACTAAATAGCTTCTTTTTGTTGTTTTTGCATGTGTGTATACATAGTGTACATGCACATATGTGAGCATGCTCACATGCATGTGGATGCACATGTGTAGGTGTGCATGCACAATTATACACATACATACAGAAGCCTGACATAAACTGTCTTAAATTGCTACCCACTTTATTTACTGAGACAGGGTCTTTCTCTGAACTCCGACTTCACAAATTCAGAGTCCACCTAAACAGCTTGTCCTTGGGATCCCCTGTCTCTGCTCCTGAATGGTGGAATTATAGATGGGCCTATTCCCATCTTGCTTATGTGGATGATGGGGACCAGAACTTCAGTCCTTGCACTCCTGCAGGAAGCATTTTATTCACTGATCTAGACTGCATGGCTTCTGAAAGCAAAATATGAAGTTGAAAATCTAGGGTGCCACCATCTTAGGAATAAGTGGTGTTCTCATCTTATTCTGTAGCTGTGATAATAAAAAAAAGACCAAAAGCAACTTAGGGGAGAAAGTTATTTGGCATATACTTCCAAGTCATAATCCATCATCTTGGAAAAGCTAAATTTCTCCACAGAACCCTGAGCACATCTGAATGACACAGTGACTGCAGTCTTCAGAACTTTAGAGCTCCTCCTGTGATCCAAAGGGGGGATTATGATCTTTCTGGGATTCTGACATTGTTTATTGAGCATTGTAAGATCCAAAGTGAGTTATAGCTTGCTGTAGAGATGCAAGCACATCAAGTGATGAAGGATTGCACCTGCTGCTGACTTGTATCTGGCGACAAGGGCCGCAGGCACTGATAGAAGAGCAGTGACTGAGGCCACACCCTTGGGGGCATGTTCACAGAAACAGAACATGTTGCCATTCAGGCTTTCCTAACTTTGGGGACCAACCTTGGCCCAGGGAACCTGAGGCTTAGTGGACTAACGGCACTGTTTTCCTATGACCCCCCACCCTGTTTTGGTATTACCCTTCGGTGCTCTAGTCATTCCAGCTGGGAACAATGGTCTTGTGGTCATGCAGTTTTGTGGGACATATAAGGAAACAGGTTATCATTGATAGATGTGTTCCTTAGAAAGAAAGATCTTGGGAAACACAGCTAAATTCCAAGATTTTTGGAAGTCTCACTCTTAGGCATTCTGCCCCTCCTATAAACGTCTTCGGGAGAAGAGGAGTAAGTGAAAAGTTCATGTTGCAAACAATCCATAGCTTGTGAGACTTCAACTTCTTTTAAGCTTCAACTGTTCACGAGTTCACGAAGTCCCCATGATAAATTCTTCTCTCTAATATTTCCTGCTTCCACCTACAGATTGCCTTCCCAAAAATGGTTGCTAGCTGCTGTCGCTTCCTCTGCTATTTCTGTCGAATTAGCAGGCAAAATCAGAAGGCCATGTTCGAGCATCTAAGTTACCTGCTGGAGAACAGCAGTGTGGGCCTAGGTATGTGTGGCACATAGTATAATTTCCACCCAGGCAGTCCGCTCTCCCTCCTGACTACCTAAGATCAAAAGGGAAAGCAATGCAAAACAATAGTCAACCTGTCCCCAAAAAACACACATAAAAGCATGTCTGTGGTCTCCACATTCTCTACAGGTGTTGCTACCAACTACCTCTGGAGACTGAGTCTATCAGACTCCCCTCTAAGGCCCAGTGGCCTGTAGTTTATGAAATGCTGCCTGGAGTGGAGTTATGTACTCTGAGGACAAATGCTCTCCCAGCCCACACAGCTGATCAGTGAGGTGAACTCTTAAGGCCAAGGTCATGGATGCAATCCTTCCCTGGCAGGCTAGCTGCAGGAGTCATTGCTGGCCCACCAGCCAACCAGCAAATTCTGCCCTTAGCTGCACAGCAGCCTGGCCAAGAGCAGCCAGGGATGAACAACACGTTAATGGAAACGGATAAACAGCAGTTCAGCACTGGGAGAAAAGCAGCTCCCCGCTTCCATTGCTCAACTCACCATGCTGGACATTAGCCAAATGGGTTGTGGAATGTACGGACACATACACTTGAAATGTAAAATCTCACTTTTCGTTTGTTTATCAAGTGCAACCTCGGGCTATCACCTTTTTTTTCTTTTATTTATTGTAAACTGGCACTTGAAGTTTTTCATAATTGTAATCTAGGAGCCAAACAAGCCAAAAATCAGTATCATAGACAACATTGGCACACTAGTGTAACTATATGAACTTGTGCTGTTTGAGACTATTTTAAACTCCATTGGTAGCCCCAGGATTTTTCAAGTCTTTGGGGCCCAGACAAGGAAGGAGTCCCTGAGTCTTTGGAGTGATCCCCAAATGGAGACCTCAAGAAGTTTTGTGTTATGAAGGTACTTGAAACTATGTAGTCCTAACCCATTCCGTACAGTGATTTTGTTTTAATTAGCATTCTCAATAGTAATGAGTGGGAGAAAGGAGGACTGTAAATCGGGCTTTGTTAAGCCGGCCGGCGACAGCCCTGTCTGAGAAGCACCCTTGGGCCAGGTTTCAGTGTCTTTGCTGCCCTCTTCTGTCCACCTACGTGCACTGCACCCTCAAGTCTGACCCGGGTGGCCTGAATGCTGTTTCTTTTTGCTCCATCCTCACAGCTTCCCCATCGATGAGGGGGTCCACCCCACTGGATGTGGCAGCCTCCTCTGTGATGGACAACAACGAGTTAGCCCTGGGTTTAGAAGAACCGGATCTTGAGAAGGTAACTTGTTCTTGGGGAGATGCATTATTTTTCTACACACAGAGGAAAAACAAGCCAACACTTAGGTTTCCAGACAGATTCGTTCACATTTATGAGAATGTGGTATCATATGAGTGCCTGGCACCACCGTGGTTAGGACCCAAGGGTCATGTATTAGTAAAAATAATCAGCTTCTTAGACTAAGAGTGGGGGCATTTGTGTTCTTCAGATGCGGAGACCCCCACGTGGAATATCGCTGGATCCCTGTGTCTCCTAGAGAAAAGTTCTGTATGATTTAATTCATGAGTCCACATATGAAAGAGATCTAACGGGAGGTTGTAAAAATCAATGTGCTGTCCACATGCACACTGCTGCCCCCTGCTGGAACTGTGGATACAGTCCCTATGACCAGGCTGATCTGCCTAGAACTGATAAAGTTACAGTGTTCCCTAACTTTGAACAACCACTCTAGAAAATTCTTTATGCTTGATACTGAGTTTTCTGTACTCATATTCCCTAGGGGTGCTTCATTAATAACTAATAAGTGTTATGCCCAAAGTTTAGAGGAAAGAAAATGGCCATAGCAGTCCATGGTGAAGGTTTTGGTGAGTCTTCTATTGGAAGATTTTCTGCCATGCCACCAATGGGACTGTTTGCATGAGCGGGCAGATGATCAAATTAACAATCTGTGTTCTAAGTACGGTAGGCAAGGAGTGGAAGAATCAAAGACCGCCCACACTCTACCGTGAGTGGATGTGAGACTGTCGCTCAGAGAGTAGATTTCGCTGCACTGTTGGGGAAGCATGCCGGGAGTGTTTAGGGCTCGGCCAGGGAACCACGCGTAGGACAGTCAGAAAGCCAAGCATGGCAGGAGCACCCGGTGCATGGGAGCACGGTGTGAAAGGTGATGGAGTGGTCAGAGGTTGCAGTTTATTAATAATAAAACTTCACGCTCACACAAGATCACTCTCTGCCAGGCTGTACTGAGTGCCTCCACCAGATAACCCTGGGACCCTCAGAAAAAGCCATATTATCTATTATTATTACATTATTATTATTATCATCATCATCATCATCATCATTGCTCAGAAGTTATGGGCTAGGAAATGGAGGTGAGGGAATAGGTCACGTCCTCATTGTCACGGGGTGAGGGAATCAGAACTTGGCTCAAGAGCCCACGCTTGTTCCAATTATATTACAGTACCTCACTGGAGAACCACAAGTCACAGAAACCACAAAGGCCCCCAGCAGGGGCAGTGTGTCGGGTGGTTTAGAAGGTTGCAGTGAAGAAACTGACTGGACTAGAAACAAGAGCTGTGATGAGAATTGCTAAGAGTTATCTTCAGTAATCCAAGCACAAGGGGGTGCTGACTTCAGTTAATATTGACACAGCAGGTGTGAGAAGTGTTTGAAGGCCCAGGGAAGACAAATAGCAACCATTAATCAAATACTGCTTTGGTTCACTTGCAGGCATGCCCACTCTGCACCCCAAAGGTCACATGCAGGCAAAGAGGGTGTGAATGCAGTCCAACACATCACTTTGGAGGCTTAGAACCTGATGAGATTTTGTTTGGCATGTTTGTAACTCAGTTGCACAGCTCTTGAGCATATACTTTGTAAATAACAATGTTGTGTTCTAATGTCAAATGGTTAGCACTCCTATAAGTTCAGGGGGTAGCACAGAGGTGTCTTGAGGTGCTTAGGTAGAATTGTAAATAACAATGTTGTGTTCTAATGTCAAATGGTTAGCACTCCTATAAATTCAGGGGGTAGCACAGAGGTGTCTTGAGATTCTTAGATGGAAATACCAACTGGGGAGCTGGCTGCATTTTCTGAGCTGCAGACAGAGATCATGGAGGGAGACCGAAGCCCTCTGAGAAGTTGAGATCTTTGCAAGGATGTGTCAGGGCCCTGAGGCCCACTACCACCTAAGGTAGTCACACAAAAAAAATATCAACAACAAAACCACAGGGAAAAAACCAGCCAAGGAGTGTTAAGGAGACCCTAGGAAATGTATCTGTAAAGCTGAGGTGAAGAATTATTTTAAAAATACATTTTGCTTTGTTCCTTCCGAGTAGTATAAGAGGGCTCAAAGAACTTGGGTTGAGAAACCAGAAAAGGGGGAACTAACATGTTATGATTAAGTTATCATGGCAGTGATGCCCTGTCTATCTGAAGTGCCACTCAGACAGGTAGATGATGTCACCACTCATGAAGACTGTTGGCACAGCCATGGCAGAGAATTGTCAGCCAATCTGCAGAACCATGCCTAGCTTGTTAAGATAAGATGGTAATTACCCACTAATAATTTACTCAAGTTCTGTGTGAGGACATTGTTTCAGAAGCATTTAACTAATAATGAATAAGAGCCTATCATGAAGCAGGCAGACTGCCTGCCTATGTCTGTGTCACTTATTTCTAACGGGGCACATTTACTTTGTGGTGTAAGGATATGTTCATCTTCTGAAGCCTCTATGATACAAGTCCACAGATGGGGTGACTTAAACATAAGAAGTTAATTTTCTCAGTTCTCTAGTCTGGAAAGCCAAGACCAAGTGCTATCAACTTTAATTTCCCCTGAGGCCTCTCTCCTCGTTTACAGATGGCTACCTTCTCGCTGTGTCCTACAGGGCCTGTCTTCTGCAGAGGCATCCCTGTTGGATCTTTGCAAGGCTATGTTTCTTCCCCTGATAAGGACACTATCCTAGAAGACCTCTTTCTGCTTAGTATCTTCTTCACAGGTCTTTGCTCCAAGTAACAACGCTCTGATGTGCCAGAGCTGGGGGTTTTAGGGTACAAATTTGAGTGATATAATTCAGCAGAAGGTGTCTTTGAGTAGTTCATTTCAATTAGTATTCGGGGTCTTTGCAACATCCAGATATTTTTTAGTGATTATATTTTAGGAGAGGACAAATTATAAGTAAAATTTTAAGCATTTTGTCAAATCAGAATGCATTGCTATTGGAACTAATTAAATCTCCAATATATTACTAAGGTAAAAGCCAAAGTCAGGAAAAGGATCTTTATTCCAATTCATTATATAGAGAAATGTGTTGCAGTGTGGTGTGGGGTGTGTGTGTGTGTGTGTGTGTGTGTGTGTGTGTGTGTGTGTGTGGTGTGTGTATGTGTATGTGTGATTTTATTTGTTCTTTCTTGTCCCCCTGTTGCTCATTTCTTTCCCCCTCCCAATAGTCATCCATCCTGCTTCCATGACTTATATAATCCATGACTTTTTCCTCTTGTTCCCTCTTCTTCTAGCTCTGCTCTCTTCCTTCCTCACATAAGCCTCTTTATACCTGTGTGCCCTACACACACACACCACCACCACACATATCAACAATGGAATCTTGAAATTCGCAGGTAAATGGATGGCACTAGAAGAAACCATCCTGAGTGAGGTAACCCAGTCACAAAAAGACAAACATGGCATGTACTCACTCATATATGGATTTTAGACATGGAGCAGGGGAGTGCCAGCCTACAATCCCACCAGCAAAGAGTCTGGGAAAAAGGGCCCAAGAAGATTCAAGCAGGGGGACGTAGGAAGTTGGGGCCCCAAGCAGAGCCCACACTCATCTTAAGCAGAGGGTTGGGGGAAGAGGAGAGCCAAGACTGGGGTATCAGGGATAACTTTCATCATCTCTCCCAACAACAAGAAGAGTAAATGAAATTGCCAGAGGAAAATATATAGAAGTTACTCCCCTAGGTCCCATAGACTCATGATGAAGGGACATCACTTGTCTCCTCTCTCTCTCTCTCTCTCTCTCTCTCACACACACACACACACACACACACACACACACACACACACACACCACATGCCACACACCAAATACACATGGTACACCACACACACACATACCATATATACCACTCCTACCATACACATACACACACACACACACACATCTCTGTTCTTGAGAGTCAGAAAAATTCTCCTCTTCTCCACATATACACAAAATACCAAAGTCAAAAACAAGAGTGGCAGTTCAATCTTAAGCAGCAGTTGGTTTGCTGGTATTTGTCTTTGACTTCTGGTGAAAAGCAAGTAAAATCTGGAATCTTGTGACTCACAGCCTGAGTTCTCACAAGCAGTGTCTGGCAGTCTAGAAGCAAAGAGACCATTGCCAATCTAATTTTTAGCTTGCTTCCTTTTGACCATCCCACCCTTAGCATCTTGGTCTTTGACATTAAATGTTGATTCAGAGCTTGAGTCAAGACCCCAATTACCCAAGTACCACTCAAAGACCATATAGTCCCATTGTCAAGGGAACACCGCAACCTTGGTGCCACAAGGGGCTCTCCTGTATCTCCTTCCCAAATGCTTATATGCTTACAAATAAACTGTTCAGGCCTGAAAATAAATAAATAGTAAAAACCTAAAAAGCAAGACCTTATGTAGCACAAGGATACCTTCAAGCTCTCTGCATACCTTGAACTTCCAATCCTTCTTCTCCTGCGCCACAGTGCTGAGATTATAGGCCTGTGCCACCACACCAACTTACAGACTTTTTACCTTCCTCTTGCTGGAGTTGGGAAAACCTAGAAACTGACAACTGACTCTCATGATCATAATCTTGTTGATTACTTGCAAGCAAATATGGACTGGAGGTTCTGGTTCCAATTCTACCAAATTATATAACCCCCAAAGAAGTGGGGGGGGCGTGTGCTGCACTTGGACTCTTGAATCATCCATGTTTCTAGAGCAAAAGTGCCCAAGATTACAAGAAAAAGTGTATAATTATCTGGGGGAGGGTTAAAAATATCCAGGCTCTCTCAAGCTTCTAGAGTTAATAAGCTCTGATTCCTAGAAATGCAGCTTTCATGGCTGTCTTAAGAGAGATTTTAGCATATCTCTTGGCCTTAAGTGCATGGGGGTTTTCTATTTTTATTGTGATAAAATGCACATAATTTACTCTCCTCACAATTTTCAAGTGTACAGTTTAGAGTCGCTAAGCCTTTGATAGTGTTACATGAGTAGTACCACATTCACCTCCATTGCTCCTTCCATTTCATGAAACAAAACTCTGCCAATTTAACAGTAACTTCCTATTCTTTCCTCTGTGCATCCCCTATCAACAGCCATTTTTCTTTCTGCCTCTATGATTTTTGACTGCTCTAACTATCTATTATGAGTTAAAGCCACACAATATTTGCTTTGCATGGTTGATTTATTTCACTTAATGTATCCTCAAGGATTGCCCACTATGTGGACCTAGCCTATGAGAAGTCCCTCCTCTCTAAGGCTGATTATAGTGTGTTATCCACACATACCATGTTTTTCTTACCCAATTATTCATTTAGAGATACTTAGATGGTATCTATATTTTTAGCAGTTACAAACAGTGCTGCCGTGAATTTGGATTGTACATCTGTCAAGACTTTATTTGTAATTTTTGTGTATAGAGCCTGAAATGAAATTTCTGGATCAAATGGTAATCCTATTTTTTATTGCTAAAAAAAAACTATCCTGTCTTCCATGGTGGCTAGTATCCATTCTTTTCACCAGGGCTTGCTCAAGGGAATCCAAGTTTTCTTTATTGAAATGCATTTTCTTTTTGTTTTCTGTTTATTTGCATTTTATTGCAATAGTTGTCCTATTGAATGTACATGGACATTCACCACTTTTTGTACTGTTCTTGGCAGGTGGTAACCTACTTGGCAGGTTGTGGCCTTCAGAGCTGTCCCATGCTTCTGGCCAAAGGATACCCTGATGTTGGCTGGAACCCCATTGAGGGGGAACGCTACCTGTCCTTCCTGAGGTTTGCCGTCTTCGTGAACAGTGAGTTCCATGTGCTCCATGATCAGGACAGAATAATTATTAATTATGGCTTTATACACAAAGGGCAACATTTCCCTGCTTTGTTGCAAGTCAATATAATAGACTATGAAGATGCTTGGCAACTGGCAAAAGAACTCCCAAGAAGGAACAGGCCAGACAAGCATCAAGAGAATCTAAAGACAGATCCAGCAAGAAACTCACTGCATGGACTGACTTGCCTTCTCTCTGTACCTCTTCTCCTATCACCTCATCTGTTTTACAGAGTTGATGAGTGTGCGCCCCCAGGTCTCTAGACTAGTCTGTGAGTGGGTGAAAGGATAATGATGCATAAGTGGATCAGAAGTACAAAAATAAGTTAGTAGCTATTAAAGGTAACTCAATTCCCAACAGGTAATTGCCATAACAACCTTAATATTTATATTATTACTCTCAGTACAAGTCATCTTCTATTTGTAATGAATTCCCATTCTACCAAAGCCCTTTCATCACACAAGAATAATTAGTGGACACTGTATAAGATAAGTAGACTATTTTCTTGAAAAGTACATTGAAAAGTACTTGAAAAGTGTTTTTGTTACAGCACTAATTCACTTATATTTGCACTAGTTATATCGCTCTGCTCTAGCAACTAGATTCACACTTCTACAGGAAAGCTTCCCCTTAGCCTTTCTAAACTGTTTTCTTCTCTTCTCTTAAGACTGTTTTTTAATATCCTCATATGATCTGTTTCACTTCCTGTCCAAATAATCATATTCCATAATTAACACAGGATTGTTATATCAAGAGAGAACAGAGATGGAGAAAGGAAAGAGAGAGAGGAAGGGGAATGGGGAAAGGAAAGTTTTAAGAATTCAAGGTCTGAGGCTGGAGAGATGGCTCCATGGTTATGGGCATTGGCTGCTCTTCCAGAAGACTACCATTTGATTCTCAGCACCCATGTGGCAGCTCCAGTCTGGGGGTATCCAGCTGCCTCTTCTGGTGTCTGTGGACACCAGACATGCATGCAGTACAGAGACATACATGCAGACCAAGCATCCGTGCACATAAAATACATAACTAATTGTTCTAAGAAGTCAAGGGTGGAGAAAAGCCTCAGCCTTAAAGAGTACCTACTGTTCTTGCAGGGGACTGTAGGTTCAGTTCCGGTTCAACCACATCAGGCAGCTCGTGACCACCTACAACTCTGGTTCCAGGGGATTTGAAACCCTCTGGGGACTACCAAGGAGACACACACACACACACACACACACACACACACACACACACACACACACACACACGAGTGAAAAGACAACAAATCTTTTTAAAATTATTTTCATGTACATAGATTGCATGACAGATGAAATGAATGGAAATAGGTTGAATGTTTTTCATCTTATCCTCCTTCATAGTCAAGATCAAGAATTTTATAAATCATTTAGTATAACTGTCAGTTTGAAAGTATCCACTGGCTGTGACCCTATGTAAAGTACCTGAATTTCCACACTTAAGTAATGCTGATTAGGTACAACTATAATGAACTAAACTCTGGACCAAAATATGTTGTCTGTCCCTCTTAGCTTGTGCTGTTTATATCCTTCTACATAGTCTGTCTCTTTAATACATTTTCATAATGCAGCAAGCTCTATTAAATTGAACACACTTATGAGATTTAATATTTATGATACCTCTAGAAGACAAGTACTCTATTGTTTGGGGCAAAGTAGACCAGCTTCTGCTTTAAAAGAATTTATTGTCTTTTAAAGGAGAGTATACATAAACATAGATCATGATTTTAAAAAATAAATAAATGGGGTAAGGCAAAGAGGGAGTACTCAAGAACTTTGAGAGGATAAACACGTCCCTTTGAAGGGATCAGAGAAGATGCTGTAAAGGAGATGAACCTAAAGTGTCACATTTCTAGAAACAGATACAGGAGAGGTTACCCAGTCAAAGAGCAGCATGCACATGGCCTAGAGGCTAAAGCACACTGTCTCAGTAAACAGTGATCTGCCAATTCAGATGGTGGATATGTGAATGACAATAGTAGATGAGGTTTGAAAGGTATGTGGATGGTTGTAACAAGTAGAACATAAACACCAAGCTGAGATGTTTAGTATCAATCTTTTGAGTAGGGAACCAGGAAGCCTTCTTAACAGAAGACAGAGTGACAGGTACTGACAAGTTCTGAGTTCAGGTTGGAATGAATTATAATTGTAAAGATGGGGATGAATGGGAGTAAATACATTTGAGGCTTACTATACAGCAGATAGAGATTACAGAAAAATAATTGCTGCTGCTGCTGGTGATGATGATGATGATGATGATGATGATGGTGGTGGATGTGGGTGTGTTAAAAGCCAAAGTACTAAACTGAAATGCTTAGCTGAGAGATTTGAAGGTAGAGCAAAAAGAAATCAGGATAAAAGTGGAAAATGGGTTAGCGTAGATAACAGTAAACTTATTTTAGTTCAAATAATACTGATTTCACTGTGTGCAATACTCAGAGATGCCCCTAAATTTGACTATTAGGATAAGAGATCAATCGGACAACAGATAGAAATTGCATATATCTTCAGGATACTTGTTATAATGTTTTAGGTTGTCTCAGGAGATTGTACAAAGATGGTTATGTGGGAATTTTTTTCAAGTAATAATTTTAAATACCTACAAGACAAAGAGTGTCTCAGTCATATTAATATGGAAGGTTTCAGGGTGGAAAATAAAATATCCAGAGTTCAAATAAGATCTATCATGCACTGGCTATGTACATTTAAACATGTTAATGAAACCTTCCAAACTCAGCCTTTTTAATATTTAAAGCAGCAAAAATAATAGCACATACCTCAGAGTTATTTAAGGTATAGATGAAATAATCCACAGAAAAGTTGATTATCATGGTGTTATAAAATACAGTAAGACCTAGAGCTGTGTCAGTTACCGTTGTTTATCATGATCTCTACAGGATTGGGGCTTTTGGAATTGGGAGACTAGTGTATTTTTGAGACTTCAAACCACTATGAATCTTAATATCTGAAGATAATTTAAAATGACACTGTGGCTACTTTCATGGCATCTGTTCAACGGAGAGATCCTCTGATCATTAGTGAAAGAGTCAAGTGATATGAAGAACCATGGTGTGTGATGGTGGATGATGGTGGATGGTAATGGATGGTGTTATACATGGTGAAGCTGTTCATAGTGAGTGATGATCTTGGTGGATGATGATAGTGAATGGTGAGTGGAGGAGTTCTTCGTAGATAACAGTGGATGATGGAGGATGATGACCTTTGGAGGATAGAGTGTTCATAATAGATCGCAGTAAATGATAGCAATAATGATAGATGATATAAGAGGTTCACACTGGGTGGTAATGGTAAATGATGGTGAATGATGGAGGAGTTTAAGGTGAGTGATTGTGAATAATGATTATTGATGATTTTGAATGACAGTATATTTCTGGTAGATAAGTCAGTAATTTTTTTTTTGGTTTTTCGAGACAAGGTTTCTCTGTATTATTTTGGAGGCTGTCCTGGAACTCGCTCTGTGTAAGGAGAAGCTTTTTCCTTGAAAGAAGCCTTCCCGCCAGCCTGCTTCTAGAGCCGCATCAGTCCCAAATAAACACACAGGAGGCTATATTAATTATGAAGCTGTTGGCCTTGCTTGTTTCTTACTGGCTAGCTCTGACTTAAGTAATTACCCCATAATTGTTAATCTAAGTATGTCTCTTTCCGGAGAAGTTTCCGGGCTTCCTACCCCATGGCATTACATCTCGACTCCTATATTTCTCCTTCCCAGAGTTCTCCTGGACTCCTAGTCCCACCTATCTAGATTCCTATTGGCCAGCAGTGCTTTATTGACAAATGCACAGGACTTCCCTCCAACAGCTCTGTAGACCAGGCTGGCCTTGAACTCACAGAGATGGATGCCTGCCTCTGCCTCCCGAGTGCTGGGATTAGAGATGTGAGCCACCAACGCCCGGCTAACAGTCAGTAACATTTAAGGTGATAGGTGATGATAAAGGTGTTGAGGGTAGGTAACATTGAGAGATGATAACAATGGATGATGTTTTTTGGAATGATTATGGTGGATCTTGGAGGATTATTATTACAGTAATGACAGGCATTTTGGAAATGTCCTATAGCAGGTTATAGGGATGTTAGTTTGAGGTTATGTTGATTGATGATAGTTTTTTTTAATTGATGGTAATAGTGATGGTAGAATAGTATGGTGGGAATTGTGATAATTATAGGTTGTGAAATGATTAAGGTTGGTGACAGTTAGTGATGATAGACATGGTTAAAGATAGTGATGAATAATAGTGGGGATGGTAATAGATGGTGAGAGTGATAACAACTAATAGTTATTGAACATTACCAGGCTATTCTATGTATTTTATATACATTCACTACTAGAATACACAATAATCCATCTTTTTATATCAAAATAATACAATTGGACTACTCCAATATTATTTTAATAGCATATCTTAATGTTTTATATAGCCTTTCTAAATAAGATTTCAATGTAAAGGAATTTCTTAAAGCAGATAATTTTCTCTACCATATTTTGATAACTTTGTTTAAAAGCCTTGGGCTGTGTTTAATTCTGGAAGTAATGAAGCTTCTATGTACCTGGAAATGAAAAAGTCTGTAGCCAAACACATGATGTGTCTGGTTGTCCAGGATTAATCACTTCCTAATATAGGTACTGAGGAGGAAATGATTTCATACCAGTCCATAAGAGGGGAAGATATTCTGTGCTTTTTTTCATTCTTGGTATTTATTAGTCTATAATCATACTTGTGAGAAATACAGTTATTTCTCAGCTCTTGGAAACTGCTGTCCTAGGTTGACACACCATAAACGCTATAACATACATATCTGTCAGGTGACATGTGAAGACTATGTGATGGGCTGTAAGAAATAATGAGATGTTTTCTACAAGTTGTGTGTCTTTTGACTCAAAGCAAGAAACAGAGCAAATAACAGAATTGTTAGGAAGATGACTGGAATTCTTCC